TGGGAGGGCCTCTCAGGGCCAGAAGCCTTCTGTCCTCATGTACCCAGTCTCTGTCACTAGCTAGTGTGTGTGGACTCAGGGCTCGGAATAGCTGCAATTAGCACCAGAACCCCAAAGACAGGAGGGCACGGCTCCCCACCCCCTCCATGGGGCAGCCCAACTGGGCAAGCCAAATCAAGTGTCCCTTCCAAAGACACGGGTCCCTTCTCGCCCRGGAGGGAACCACTCCTGGGTGTGCTTCCTCTCGTCTCCTGCAAAGGTGCGGGCAGCACTGGCAGAGTCTGAGCCCACGGASAGCTGCCAGGCCCAGAGGACCTTCTGCAGGACACTGGAGGGCGGGGCAGAGGCAGCCACTCAGAGGCTGTTCCTATCAGAGATGGCACCAGGTCTGGGACAGGTCTCATGGTTGTGTGACAGACTTAGCTCATGGCACACACATCCTGATGGCATGAGAGGGTGACATCACGACACGCCAACAGTGCAGACAATCAGTGTCAAAGGGATAAACAGACACATGGACAATGGGAAGCAATGACTTAAGGAGAGGCAACAGCATAGCCGTCCTGCGGCCCAGTGTCCTTGACCACCCGGGAGGTGGCCGAGGGCTTCACAGAACCACCCAGCTGCAGACCTGTGGGGACAGACCCCGGTTTCCCCAGTTCCACTTCTGCCTAAGAAAGGGAACCATGAGAGTCAACCCCAGTGGCAGAAGTGACACCTACCCTGGGGAGAAAGGTCACGTGGGACTCCCAGGTGCGGGGGCCTCAGAGGGGCTCTGCTCTGCTCYTTCACAAAGACCTGACCACGCAGGAGACCAGCCCGGCTTGCGAAGGCCCAGCTGTCCATCACCTGGAACAATGTCACCAACATCTGGAATTCAGGGAGGCCTCCAAACCCCACCAAGCGCTGACCTGAGGCCTCGCTCCTCTTTGCCCCACTGGCCTCTCTTTCTGAGAATTACGAGACATGGGGAACTTGTGTTCCCTCTAGAGCACCCAGGAACCGGCAGCTGGCGAAGCTGAGCGAGTGAGCCTAACGTGCAGATGGACATTGTTTGCACACACAGGTGAGCACGTCTACACGCGTCCACTACCCAAAGGTCAGCAATGGCCACTGCTGACCATGGGTTGGGGTGACTTGAGACTCCCCATTCTACTTGGCTGTGTTTTTTAGGTTTTCCACGATCGCACACCGGTTGCATTTGGCCTAAGAGCTCTTCTGTGACTCCTGCAGAAACCCGCCAGCTGCTGCCGCCCCCCCCCCTTAGGAAAAGGGGGAGTGTTTGAAAGTGCTTTGTTTTTTCTTTTCTTCTGAGATCTGATCCTTTGGGGGTGGGAGAAGGGTCCTCCCCTCACAGGAGAACTCCGCTGATATTTCTAGAGAAATTAAAACAAACCTCCTGAGACGGGGCACCTGAGGCAGGTGCTCCCAAGACCCACCCGTTTGGTTCTTGAAATCTGGTGTGGACTTCTGTGGTGATGCTGCTCAGAGATGGTCAAGTGCTCCCACGGAGATGGCCAAGTGCTCCCATGGAAATGACCAAGTGCTCCCACGGAGATGGCCAAGAGCTCCCACGGAGATGACCAAGTGCTCCCACGGCAATCGCCCCTGTGAACTTGAGCCTGTGTTTCTAGATCCACCGCCTTCAAACCCCAGCATCGCTAAGCACGAAATACCTTCACCTGCTTCTGGAGCTTCATGTCCACGCCCCCACAGTTGGGAGCGTCTCTCTGAAGGGCCAGTGCCTGTGACCCCTGGGTCCARGAGTTCTGCGCTCTGACTGTGTCCAGGAGGCCGCAGCCCAGATCCATCAGGCTCTTGACAAGTCCCCAAGCTGCAGTGACAAAGGTCACAGACCTGATGGCCTGAAGCAACAGACGCATTCTTCCAAAGTCAGATGCCCGSAGGGCCATGCTCCCTCCCAGGGCTCCAGGGGACAATCTGGTCTTGCCTGCTCCAGCTGGTGGTGGCTCCAGGTGCTCCTCAGCTTCCTTGCCTGTGGCCGAATCCACTGTCTCTGCGCCTCCCTGTGTCTCCTGGGGGCTCAGGACCCACCTTATAGCCCACATCAGCCACCTCTGCAAAAGCCCTTCAAACAAGATCAGGCTCACGTGTTCCAGAGGTGAGAATGTGGTGATGTCTTTGGAGGGGCCTCTGTAGCCTGGTCCCCGTGCTAGATGGCCGCTGGCACTGTGGGCACTGCTGCTGCTGAGCGATCCATCCAGTGGGACAGAGAGCTGCGGGGTGGGGACACGCGGAGGGGCCCCTGGATATGCATCTGCAGAGCCTTGGCCAATGGTCAAGGCAGGCCCCGGGGTCACGGCTTTGGCCAACACTGGCTCTGGCACCTTGAGAGTCGCTGAACTGGGCCTAGACTCATATCCGTCAAGTGGGAATAAGGACAGGGTCCACTTCAGACTCTCAGGTTTCTAATTTTTGAAATGTTGTTCTCCCAAAAGATTTTTAAAATGATGCCTGGCTCCCGATATGTTTTTTGTTTATTTATATAATATAAAACATATGATTATAGAATGTATGATTTTTGTGTGTGTGTCCATACGTGTGGGGGGGATTTTTCAAAAAAATCTTTACATAAAATAAGGGATGGAGGACAGAGTCCCACAAGATGGTCCTGAAGACAGCCCAACCTTCCATGTGACTGCACTTCTCAGTGACCCTGGAACAGAGGGAGAGGAGAAGCTCAAACAGTGGTGAGGGGGCAGTGTGACCTGGTGAGGACCACTGACAGCTGCCCCTTTTCCCAGCTCAGGTGTGAACTGTAAGGCCATCAGGAGACTCCGCCGGATTCCTGCCCCGTGACCCATGACGCAGTGGCTGTCCTGATCAGTGCTGTGCTTTGGTTCCATGGCCAGTGGTTAAATATCACCAAAAATCACTGGGTTCATCAAAGTGACTGACAGGGTGGCCCTCCCCTGCTCATCAGTGATTGCCCCACTTTGGATCTGGGCTGGCGCTGATGGGGTGGGGGCCTTTGGGGACCTCAGAGGAGGCTCTAGGTCACCGGGTGTGGCCTTGAGGGAGGCAGCGTGAAGCCAGCTCCCTCCCCTTCCTCCCTCTTTCAGGCCAGGGGTGGGTGGACACCTGCTCTGCCCCACGCCACCTGCCACAGGGCACTGCCTCACCACAAGCCAAAACCTTGGCCACGGTCTGAGTCCTGCTGGCCCCAAAGTCTCAAGCATTTGTTCTAGTGATGGAAGCCAGRGGACTGTCATCATGTCTGGAGCAGAGCAGCAAAGACCCCAGAGGCATGGATTCCAGATTTCCTAACGTGGTCGCGTCCCAGTGCGCGTTGGCTTTGAGCGCCAGCCCAGGGCAACGGGGTCTGCCCTCTGCAGGAAGCCTGGGCTTTGTGTCCCTGTTCCCTGTGGACGGCAGAGCCGCCCTCTGCCCGACCACAGTGCTTAGAAGAGGAGGGCTCTGTCCTGTGGCTCCTGGTGGCTCAGCTCCTGAGCTCTGGGTCCCGACAGCCAGACAAGGTAGGGAAGCACTCGTCCCCACTGGCGGGTGGCACGTGGCTTCCTTGCAGAGAGCCATTCCCTCCATCTCATTCCCTTGGCTTCAGCTTATCTGTTCTGAACATTTTCAAATTTGCTTATTTTTCTAATCTTTTCTCCCCTCTTTTGGCAACACTACCCTTTATCTCTGGTTTCATCTCTATTACTCACACTGCCTCACGAGGCGTCTTCATTAAAATATTTTAAATTAAGACCTGCACTGCCCCCCGCCGAGCACAGCGGGCTCCCCACACGACACAGTCTAGTTCTTATCACAGAATTTCAGGCCGTTTGTACATTATATTCTGCTAAAGACTCAGTGCCACTCAAGGCTGTCACAACCTATGCGGGATGCTGCCGGGCTATAGTCACATATTCACTGTTCACAGAAAGCTCCATCCAAGGCCGTGTTTCACACCTCATTTGATATCAGAGACCAACAAAAGGCACAAAAAGAAGCAATTATTTATTTAAATTATGAAATGGATTCTAGAGGGATATTAGATAAGCATAAATTGTCACACCACAGCCAGGATCCCTGCCCTTCCTCAGCSGGGGGAGGTCAGGCTGTCCCTGTGAGCAGGGGCGGGGCCTGGAGCCGTCAATCATGCAGCTCCTCTCAGTCCGCTAAGTCTGCTCTCAGGAAACAGCACAGTGGCCGCCACTCCTGTGCCTGTGGACCTCAAAGTGTCTAAAGGTCAGAGAAGAAAGGAAAGAAAACAGGTGGTGGCAATGCAGGGTGGCAGGGAGGTGCCCGAGGGGCTCATGAGCCCAGCTGAGGAGCTGGCACCTCACCCAGGTGAGGCCTGAGCCTCGGGGGGTCACAATCAGGTGGGCTGCACACCTGGTCAGTTATTAACCTGAAAAACCACCGGAGACGTGTTCCTCACACGGGAGGGGGCAGGGGCCGTGACAGCAGGGAAGGGGTCCTGCCACCCACCAGGGGATCCCGATGCAAAACCATCAGCAAGGACCTCTCTGCTGCCCAGGTGAGTGCAGCCCACCTACCTGAGGCTGGCGCCCCAGCTGGAGAAGAGAGGCTGCTGGCTRGCAGCGCCAGTGACCAGCTTAAGACCAAAGCCATGCACCAGTGCACGGTGTGTCATCAGCAAAATGACTCTCAAAATGACGCTGGAGCCGACTCAGGCTGCTCATAGATGCCCTCTTTCCTCTAGCCCTGACATCAGTGCTGCTTTCCCACAACATCTCTGACCCCTGGTCACAGATAACAACAATGGTGACCTCAAACTAACACCACACTCCGCACTGTGACAATTTGAACTTGGTGGCTCTGGGGACCGTCCACCTCATTAGGCTTTTGAGCATGAAAAGCAAGAGGACCAAGCTCGGCCAGAGCGCCCATCAGAAGCCGGCTGCTGGACTGGAGGAGCCGCATCTGTCTGAATGCCACGTCCCTCCCTGGGTTCCCCACGGTCCCCAGCCCCCACCCCCCGTGGCGCTGGGCCTCAGGCCTCTYGCACTCACCTGCCCTGGGTGTCCGGGTGGCCCACGCAGGCCAGGGTGGCCGTCGTCTGGGTGCTGCTGTGGTCCACCTCCTCCTGCACCGCCCACTGGTCCTCGTTGCTGATTCTCACGGCCGTGATCTTCACACCAGCTGCCGCCTTAATTCTGTGAGGTGGGAAACGACACGACACGTATGAGAAACCATCCTGCTGACTCCGCGGGCCACCACCACCAGGCCCATCGCAGGACAGTGTGGGCAGTACTATCCTCTGCCCAGGAGACAGGAGGAGCACTGTGAGTGGCTCTCCTTGGAAAACGAAGTGTCCTGTTATTTTTATAAGTGCCTTCCTGCCACCAGGATTGACGGGGTGTGACAGGCACATGGGGGAGGTGGATGGACTCTGCCCCTCACCTGTAAGTGGGGAGGAGTTGTCGTGGGCTGGGGAAGGCCAGGGGCTATCCAGTCAGGGACCCAGGAGGACACTGCACTGAGCACACCATGATGGGAAATGGCCAGCGCTGGACTCTCGGGCACTGAGCAAACTCCATGCTCAACAGGAGGATGGGCAGGTCCTGCCTGGCACCCCAGGTGTGTGCTCAGTCCCCCAGCAAGAACCCAGGCCCARGGGCTGAGGGAAGGGGAGAGTCCACAGCCTGGGCTGTCTTTCCCACGTCCCCGCCCCTGACTGACCCTTATGGCACTGCTGATGGGACCTGCTCCTATGTAGCAGTGGGGACTCCAGGAGCAGCTCTGCGAGCCGCCCAGATGCATGGACAGGTCTRGAGAGCCGTCAGGATGCAGGCACACCAACTGGGCATGGAGGCCAGYGGTGCCTGGCCATGTGGCTGACCCCTGCTTCCCAGAGACCTGAGACCCCAGGAAAATGTCCAGCGAGGCTCTCTCAGGCTTTCCCATGATCACACAAAAGGAATGCCAAAGGCAGAGACAGCCCACGTGCAGGAGTCAGGGGAATGCTGGGACCTGGGGAGCCAAGATCCCTCAAGATTAATCATCAGACCACACACCGTCTAAGGTGCTGCTGGTTACAGTAAGATGAGCAAAAGTGAAAAGACAACAGACAAGGATGGGAGAAATTACCTACAGATCATCTGTCTGATAAGGTCTACTATCCAGAATATGCAAAGAGCTCTTACAAATCAACAACAAAAAGACAAATCACACAATTACAATATAGGAAAAGGTCTTGACTAGACAGTTCTCCAAAGAAGATATACAGATGGCCAACATGTGCATGAGATGGTGCTCAGCCTCATTAGTCACTGGGAAGTGCAAATCAAGACCACTGTGAGGCACCACTCCATGCTCACTCACTGGCTACAATACRACAGAAAAGAGTCGGCAGGGACATGGAAAAATCGGGTCTTCACGCGMTGCTGGTGGGGATGTAAAGGGCGCAGCTGCTCTGGAAATGGTTTGCCAATTTCTCGAAAGGTTAACCTAGAATCACTCTGGGACCCACATATGCTTTCCCTCGTGTGGAAACTAGAAAGCAAAAAGGAGAAAAAATCTAGGAGGGTCTCATGAAAATAGATGAGACACAGGAAGAGGAGGGGACAGGGGGGTGGGGAGGGCAAGGGCAGGTGCTGGGGAAGGAGTTGACCAAATGGTGTTTGCGTACTTACAGACACCTGGCAAGAGAGCCCCTAATATGTCTAACAACAACTTTTTAAAAAATGGCTSCAGGCCCCAGAAATCCAACTCCTAGGCTGATGCTCCAAAGAATGAAAAACAGGAACTCAGAAAAATACTCAGACATGTGCACAACAGCACRGGGGATTTTCTTGTTTGGGTTTTTTGTTTCATTTTGTTGTGTTTTAGTACCAATGATTGAACCCAGGGGCACTTAACCCCTGAGCCATATCCCCAGCCCTTTTAAAACTTTATTTAGAGACAGGGGTTGCTGAGTTGCTTAGGCTGGCTTTGAACTTGCTATCCTCCTCCTTCTCCTCCTGAGCCACTGGGATTACAGGTGTGCGCCACTGTGCCTGGCCGGTGCTGTTTATAATGTGCGCGGGTGGCAAGAACTCCAATGTCAATGACTGTTGAGTGGGAACCTAAACATGGTCTATTCKTGACCTTGGAGTATTACTGAGCCATAAAAAGGGCTGGAGGAAGAGGCGTGCTACAATGGTGCACCTCRAAAACACTATCCCGAGTGTGGGAACATGAGCACATTGGATGGTTTCACTCATATCAGAGCATCCAGAAGGTGAATCGTAGAGACAGAATGCATATCGGTGGTTTTCGGGGCTGGGAACAGCGGGGGAGTGGGGAGGGACTGCGTAGCTAGTGGGTACCAAATTTCTTTTGGGGGTGATGTGCTAAGGGCCTCTGAATTGTTGGATTTGATATTGTTAATTTTATGTTATATGAATTCTATCTCAATTTTTAAAAAAGAAAAAAGTGTGGGGTGGGAGGCAGGTAAATGACGCATCATGATTCCCTGTGGCTGAAACTTTTAAATATTTTTAAAAGGATTTATCAAAATCATAACCCCTGTGAGGCCCAAGCAAGGAACCCTCTGGTGGCAGGATTTGAGGCATTGAGCGATGGGACATGGGGTGGCACGAAGTCCTTGCTGCTGCCTGCCCCGGGAGCCCTGGCAGTGGGCCTGGGGACTCAGGCTGCCTCTCTCACTAACACAAAAGAAAATGTGGCTGCCCTCCCTCCTGCTGTCCCCTTCCTGCTGCCCCCCTCCCGCTGCCCACCCTGCTGTCCTCCCTCCCACTGCCCACCCACCCACTGCCCACCCTCGTGCTGCCCCCATCTCCTTCCTGCAGGTCTGTCCCCAGACTCCCAGCTGCTTGCCTGCCAGCTCTTGCTCCTGSCATTTCCTGAGAAGCCTTGGCCAGGACAGGTGGCACCCTCTGGAGACCCCACGAGGCCTGCCCTGACCCCGCCGTCCCTCCGCTGGATCCTGCTGCGTTTCCAGAGCCTGCTTTCTTGCTGTCAGGACGTTCCAGGAACTAATTCATGCGAACCATGAGCAGAGGTGTCCTGCTCTGACCCTGCTCTCAGCCTTCAGGTGAWGAGAGTGTCCCAGAGCCCTGTCTGCAGAGGCCAGTGTACACTTGCTACTCCCACAGCTTGCGGGGCTCTCGCCCATGCACACAGGAGCCCCCAGAGCCCTTCCATAGCGTCAGGATTGTAATGTCGTCCCCAGTGTCCACAGGGATGAACCRGCCCTCCCACCCCCAGCAGAGTGACCAGCGGCAGGTCACAGAGCTGGTCCGTCCAGGACCAGGACTAGACGCAGGGTCCCCTAGCTCCACACCTGCCCCCTGCCTTCCGCTCTGCCCCACCGGCTCTTTTCTCACAATGCACCATGTATCACTCAGCCCACGGGTGCCGAGCATGGCTGGCCACCCAGGGGCCAGGCCCAGGTCCACCAGCAGCTCAGTCTGTATGGAAAGTGGCCCCAGCCTCTGGCTGTCCAGCTCCCTGGCTGAGCCCAGCTGCCCACCTCCCCTCCRTCTCAGGGGCGTGGACACAACGTGTGCCGGCTGCTGAGCCTCCTTCCCCTCTTAGCCACATTCCTCTCTTCTGTTCTGACCTGAGGACAAGGCATGGGTCCCAGTCACCATCTCTGAACTCACTGTGGGGCCTGAGGCTCAGCATTGAMGCTCTGCTCAGTCATCCCATAAAGGTCCTGGTGTCCCCAGGGTGGAGGGGTGGCAGACGGAACAGTGGCCATCAACCCACAGAGGTCAGCACTTTTAGTGTTTTGGAAACTAGCACAACCACACTGATGCCCCCGGCCGCGCACCTGAGTGAAACTCCTGAACTTGAGGAAGCCGGGCAAAGGCCCAGGGGGCCCCAGGGCTGTGCTGGGGTGGGCTCCTGCCCTCCCACCATGACRCCATGTGCCAACTGGGCGTCCCCGCTGTGCTGACCTCCAGGGGTCCTCTAACTACTGAAACCAAAGAGCCGTGGGCATCAGAGCCACGGTAGTCTTGAGCGCTCCAAGCTTCCTGGTGGGTGAGTCCAGTGGTCCCTGTGTGCATGGGAAGGGCCGCRGGGAAGCCTGTGACCCGGACTCGGACAGCCTCCAAGGCTGCAAAGCACCTTCTCCCACTCGCTGTTCGCCTGGTCCCCTGACACTTCAGAACCGCCTGAGATCAGGAGCGGTGSRCAAAGCCCAAGAATGAGGAGGCCAYGGCTCAGGGTGGCCTTCTGAGGATGGTGGGGGCCACAGGAAAAGACCATGGCCACACTTTCCCAGGACCCGTTTAACAGTAGGAAAATGACTTCGTAACCAACGCCAAGATGCCTCTGGGCCCTGCTTCAGAGACCAGTGGGACCCTCGTCCTGCCCAGTGGCAGGTATGTTCCACGTGAGGAGCCCTGCTGAGGTGTCACTGGACAGGCCCTTATGTGGGTGGCCAAGGAGGGAAACCGTCCCCTCCAGCCCGCGGAGGTAGAGATGGCTCATATCTGGGAGCAGGTGCCAGCATCTGAACTGGCAACCGACAGGCAGGAGAGGGAGGTCAGGGTGTCCACCAGCTCCTAGCCCCATGGCCCCCRGGGAAAGCACTCAGAATCCAAAGGCAAAGGCACCACGACCCACCCAGGCCCCACCTGGGCTCTAGGGGTCTGTGCAGCTGCAGGACCGAGACACATGGGGACCGTGGGCTGCAGCGGCTCTGCACAGACCGCCTCAGGCCTGGCCCGCTCCACACTAGCCCCGTCCAGCACGGCGCCCAGACCTCATTATYGGCTCCCAGATGAGAATCCTGGGGAGCCAATCACCAGATCAGAGGTCATCCACTGCAGAGCAGGCCAGAGCCCAGACACGGGCCCTGGGAGGCCGAGCATGGCTGGCCACCTAGGGGCCAGKCCCAGGTCCACCAGCAGCTCAGGCTGTATGGAAAGTGCTGAGAGGCCCATGCACAGGGTCTGCGGGGCTCCCAAGCCCACGTCCACCAGCATCCAGACGTGGCTTCATCAGAGGTGGGTCCTCCACCCGTCGCTCCTCAAGGATCTCAAGATGAGGCCCCCCTTCTAGAGTTGACGCTGAATCCTGGGAGAAGTGTCTTCACAAAAGAGAACAAGACCCAGAGACGCGAGAAGACAGGGCAGAGGCGGGAGCCCAGGCCAAGAGCACAGTCCCCACTACTCTGAGCCACCCCCTTCAGGGTCGTGTG